AGGAAGAGATTGTTTGGGTGACAATGCCCCATACTGATTCAGCCTTAACATGGTCTCCCATCTCTTGTACAAACACACTCCAGTGTCCAAAACAGGTTTTTTTTTTCTTTTTCGTTTTTTATGTGGGACCAGGTCTTCATATTTATTACGTTTTTTACTTGGACTAAATAACATTTGTATTTTATTCTATATAGGTCAATACTTACCTCATGAAATCAGCAGCACTACGAACCAAAAGCCGTGGGAAAAAGGAAACAAAAAACCTAATTGACTCTTTAAAAAGACAGTATAGAGTTCTTCAGTATAAATTACGTTTGCTCTTGTTACAATATTATAACACGGTTAATTAGGTGCGTGTTTCATTTAAACAACCTTTCACAGATCCTTGGAACCATTTGAAAAGTAAAGTTCATCTGGGTTCAACTATAATATGCCCGTATTTCATGTAGAGATTTTGTTTCAGCAGGTGAGGGGATGGGTGGTTAAGACTGTTTTGAAATAAATATTTTATGCGTAAAAGCATAAGAATAAGAGTGAGACAAAAAACTTTTAATCTCCCTATACACTATGCATCTAAGATTAACTACAAACTGAGCAAAACTTTATATACCTTATAATACTAGGATCTTATTTACCTGCATCAGCCAACAAAAGGATTTCACCGCAAAACAATCAGAAATAAATTTGAACCTAAAGTCCACAGTTGGCAATTACTTTCTGAAAAAAAATTAATAAAAAATATAAAAAAGTTGGAGATGGGAGACTTAAAGGTGATCTATAATCTGTAATTTGGATTAAGGTGGCAGTCAACGATTTGCAATTTCTTCGCTTTAGACATGTTTTTAAGCTGTTTTCTTAAACACGGTTAAATATTTTATTCTTTATAGAAGCTGTATAAATCGATGTTTGTCGACGTCATATTTAGGACATGGAAAATACAAGCTACTGACTACTTGAAACGTATGGAAAGCTCATTTTTTCAGTTCTCTGTTTCTGATTTTCATTCAGTTAAATCCGGTGTATGTGAATATGTTCTGCAGGTGTGGATGAGATGTAAGAGTCTAAGAACCCTTCTTTGTTGGAGCGCCAATGCATATCAGGTTACCCCAAAGTATTTAGTCAAGTGCCACTGATAATACAAATAACAGAGGGTACAGCCATCTGCAGTTTCTGCATGAAAGATGGCAATCAATCCTCTGATATCCAGAAAACATGATTCTACATTACATGTAAAATGTTTTAACGATTGCTCCCTACTTTCTTTGGCGGGATTGATAGGAAATAACAAGCGCGTTTAAGCCTTTAACTCTCAAAATTAATTTTTCTTATTGTCTGCTATAGATTCTTATAATGTGAATTTTGAGAATTTGGTATTGGATCAATCAGTAATCCCCTAACTGATATTTTTCTTTGTTCTCATCACTTGTCTGCCTGATATTGTATTGATATTGTAAAGAGAAATTCTGTCTTGATCACTGACGGGAAATAAGGGGTTGAAACAAACTTAAAAACACTCGAGGCATAAAAATATGTATAGTTTGACAAATCAATACAGAAATGAAAAGTAAAATAAGGAAATAAGTGGTAAGCACAATAAGAGTAAAGAACGAATTTTTCGACATTCCCATTAAAGACACGATCAAGAAACTGTCATGGCGGCTGACAATGAGGCTCGTTCTGTGCTATGTGATCTTGCCCTCCCTTCTTATATTCGACTTTACAAATTAATTTTACTCGAGCAACAACGAAAAACACGGGCACTACAATTCCATCCGAAATATATCTGTATATAGGTTATTTACCTGAAGAAAAGTCTTGACAAAATTGAAGTCATGAATCCTCGACGTCGAATGTTAGCCACGCGATTCGGCATAAGAAACACTCACCAACCTTGACAGAACTGACGATATCCAAGGTAATAAGGTCAATATAACGTGTTTCTTAAATCCATAAAAGCTGGAAAATACGCTGAAATTTCTTGCGGTTCGTAAGCTCCTTCCACGTGCAAGACTGAGCGCAAATATGAATACTAATTTCAAAAATTATTTGTAATTCAAATGAGTTTTCCACTTTAAACGGCGTGTTAAAAATAATCGACACTGAGCTCTTGGGTTAGTTTCGGTTACATCAAAAAACCTAGAAGGATGTCAAGCTGAAGGCTGAATTTGGTCAGTCTTGGCAGAGCTCAATGGGGAGGTGCAACTAACTATTTTTGTAATTTTAGAAATGTTTACTCGAACCCAGACGATTTTTGAACGTAGACAATTTGCTTGTAGACCATTTTCTTATTCATTGACGTTACCTGTTTCTCGTTACTATTGGCATTTCGTGTCACTAGATTTCTTCTGAAAACACGCTCCAATTTGTAATTAGACGGGTACTGAATTCAAAACCATAATCCTTCAATAAGATTCCACTTATTTACGTAGAGCTGGTCTTACTTTAACAACTATAAGTTCTGTATGGAGGGGCAACGGTCTTTCTTCAATAAGACATATGTCCGTTTGTTCACACACCGATTTCTGTACGCTAATGTCTTCAATGTATTTCAGCAAAAGCTAGTTTTTCTGTGACCACGAACACTCAAAATAGGAAAACTAACATACCATAGAGGTGTTATTAACACTCAACTTTAGTTCCTTTAGGTTGTCTTTTATGTCTCCTTGGAAAAAAGAAAAGTGTGATGTGACGTTAAACCAAGTTCCTATAAATATTCTTTGGGTCGTGAATGGGTGCTATTGCTATAAACTTGATATTAATTCAGTTCACAGCGCCTAAACATATCTGTTTCACATCAGAGAAATAGGTGAAGGAACTGAACATTTCCACATCGAAAAATGGTTAAAGTGGCAAGTGACAGGCTCAATTACGGTAAAAGCTTATCTGTTAGAGAAGACCCATTGAGGAGAAAGAAATGGCCGTTTTCTTCTTTCCGAGTCCAGTAACCCCTCCTGTTTTTGCATACACCGATTGAGTGCTTCTCTCTGTGCTTTACAGGCGACTTTGAAATAAACATAAAACAGGAAAAAAATGTGAATGAAAAGAAGCCATCGACCTATTGCTAATTGACATAAAATTGTGTCGTCGTGACCACGCCCACAAGGAATATTTACTGTCATTGGTTTTGCAGAATGTGTGCCTGTGAGAGTAGAATAACATTTACTAGACTATTTTTTATCTATACGACAAACCTACTATATTCCGGGAATTTCGTCAATTGACTATTCAAAGCGTAAAACCTAAGCTATAGGAAATGTAAACTTTTTTATCAGCTTCGCTTGGGTCAGGAAACACATTATTTAAACCCAAATACCTTGGATATCGTCCGTTCCGTCACTAGTGAAGTCAAGAGAATGTTTCCTCGAGGTGGCTGAAGCAAATGGTTTTAATTTGACGACGAAGAAGGATGGATAGATGTCATTTTGTCACGACCTTTTTCAAGGTAAATATCCTACGTAGATGTATATTTTGGATAGAAATGCAGTGTTCTTGTTTCTCGTTGTTGCTCCAGTGAAATTAATTATGAGTTAAAAGTAATACAGAAGAGCGTGGGAGACATGAACACAGCTCAGTATAATACAACTTTTTAGTAGTAGCAGCCATGACAGTTCTTGACTGAAACCGCGTGACTTTTAGAGCAGCAGCGAGAGATGCGAACACAATTGAAAATGTGCTGATCGCTTAATAACTCATCTATCTTTCATTCTTCACAGCTTGTTATTCTGTGCACAGTATATTTTATATCAGAATTTTAACGTTAAATGTGGTTAAACGGGTATTGAAACCTACAATCGAAAATGTGGTGGCTCTTATTGAGTCTTTCGATCCCGACATTGATCCTCATCGGCATTCCCAATAAAAAAAGGAGTAACCGTAAAATAAGTATGCACGTTTCACAACATAAATTTCTCTATTTTCTCTCATCAGGACACCGTCAGGATGAGGTTATCGCTAAATCAAGAAATTTAAGCGAGGAAAGGAAAACAAGGTAACTTCCAAAAATGTGAGTTATTTACTTGTTGTTTATTTATTGTAAATTACATTATATTATCTATCATACTATATATATTATAATTTTTTTTGATGCATCGCAACTCGTGAATAAAAATAGTCAAAATGTAGCCGTACCCTCCCCTCCCCCCTTCCCGGCGTTTCTCCTTACGGGGGAGGGTACTGCTAGAATAAAAAACCGTTCGTGCGAACCTCCATTGAATAAGCTCTTTTTATTGCAAGTCAGTCATTAGATGAAATGATTGATACTGTAGCACTTGTGGTGACCAAAAAAATATAATTCATAAGATTCCAAGGGGTGTTGCTCCAAGCCGCGGTTAACGAGGGCTTGGGGGCTATTTTACAGATCATTGGAGAATAACAGACCAAAGTTGACCGTTTACACGAATCTTTAATCTTATAAGTAATCGACCACTAACCACAATCAACGATCAAAATCACGATCAATCTCACAATCAATCAATTAATCGATCTGGATATTGGTCCCGCTTGTGCCAAAGGTTTAAGAAACGAAAATAGGAAAGTTTACTGAGACTACTCAAAAACTTATGAATAACTGATTACAGGGACGCTAAACTCGCTTCTATATGCGCGTGGTGACGCCGAAAGGTCCGATTACAAAACCAATATATAAACAAACAGATAAACATTGTAACTATTTTCGTATCTACGATCATTCTAAAATTATAAAACTAATCAATAATCAGTTAAATTAAAATGAGCCTTCTGGCTAGTGTCCTTAACAAATACCACTTTCAAAACCAGTCAATTACTAGATTTGCTGTATATGTTTTTTATCTGTAACTTTTTTTCGAAAAGAGTGGCTTTACCTTAGTTACCCGGTAATATAATTCATACATTTAAAAGTGACTTCATCACCCCCTACCCCACCCCCACGGTGTCTATTCAATTCCCCTTCTCGCTTATGCTTCCTATTTAATTAAGGGAAAACAACGCAATAGATTAACATTTTATCGTTTTTCTCATGATTTCGAGACATTAGCAGTTGAATGAATAATCGAATGCTCTACCGTTAGACTCGTACATCTATTTATAATCATTATTTTATTAGGGAGAATTACTAAATTAGAAAGCCACATTGAAGGTTGCGTTTTGAAAAAAAAAATTATTTGGGATGATTATTCATTACCACCAACGTATGCTATTTTGGTACCTCATTATGAATACGTTTCTTAGATCCTGCTGACGGGAAAAGGACTTTGGAAATATTTTCATTGCAATTGATTTTGATAATATGTCGAAGATTTTTAAATAAGTGCCACTCCCGCAAAAATACCGCCCCTTTGATATTACCCTTAAGCATCACCACTCGATCTGATTTGAGTCAAAACTAATTTGAATTTCCTTATTGACCAAAACACCTCAAGAGACCTGCAAAAAAGACAAGTGAAAGCTGCCAATGATAGACAATTTAATCAGCGTGCTATTGAAGAAGACACAAAGGGCCGGTTTTATTGCCGAACATTCTCTATAAGGTCACAAAATGTCGCAAATTTCCTTTCTAAAAATCTAGGCAATATGAAAGTATAAATTTGATGCCAGAAAATTACTGCCACCATTAGGTAGCATTTCTACTTAGTTTGGACGACCTCACTTCAAAATTAATAAAAAAAATATATCAATTTACGTTCTCTAGGGAGTTTTTTCAAAGAGCTTTGTGTTTAAATGCTATTTGCTGAATGACGGTTTTCTAAAGACAATCATAACAGGCACGCTTTTGGAAAAAGAAACTCCGACCTTTAACAACTTGAGTCGAATTCATAGCCACAAAGCCGAGATACAATCTAAAAGCATACTTTCTTAGTCAAATTCAGCTCATGGTATGAAGCTGCACAACAAAACAGGCCATTATATAACAAGATGACGCAGAGAAGCCGCGTGCGCTTTGCCGCTGAAAGTTTTCGCGTTCGCCATACCTCTTTCTCGCAATTTCTTCCCTTGCGATTTTATTCAGACAATAAAATCATGATTGTCAAGGTCGTGACAGCTTTGACTGCTGCATTGAAAATTATTGAAGGCACCGTTCCCCGCTGCTGTCACCCGCGGCTTAGGCTGTCATGGTTCAACTACCTTCCTTGAATATTGTCTCGAAGCTTACTTGAAGACAAAGAAACGATAGCAAACTGAATTGAGTAGGAGTATGATTTAGTCTTAAAAAAGAATATAGAGCCAAAATCAGTATCCAATAGGGAGCTTTGAAGGCGCAGAGACACGTCACTTCAACCCATGAAAACTTCCTCTATGTGCAATGTTTTTGAGTCGTTTTTATTTTGTTTCCCAAACAATAGGAAAATGTCTCTCAAATAATTTGAATAAAGCCGATGGTCACCGCTCAACAGCATTTCACTCTGACAAAAGAAAAAGGGACGCTACTGATCTCTGAAAATTATTCGTCTTCTTTGGCACTTAAGCCCACAGCATGATGATATGGTATTGGGCTCTGGGTTGGTTTATCACCATTTTAGCTCTCCTTGGAAATGGCTCAGTGTTCTTTCTCATCGTTTTCAAACGCAGTCTGCACACAATAACCAACTGGTTTATTTTATCTTCAGCCGTGGCGGATTTCATCGCTGCCCTAACATTTCTGCCAGTGAGATATTTTGCAAACTTCCACTACGATATTGATCTAGGTCACGCTGGTTTGTGGTACAAGATCTGCTTCACATTCCTCTACAGCTCAACAACTAACTTATGCGTTCTTACTATGGACCGCTACATGGCAGTCAGCAAGCCTTTCAAGTACGCCCAATACATGAACAGAAAGAAAGCTATATTCCTAATTTTCATAGCGTGGCTATTTCCACTAATTTTCTTCACGCTCCCCGCTGCCCTTTCGTACAGAGATAACGAAGTGTTCACAATGGTATCAGAGATCAATAGAATCTTCGTTTTCCAAGTGTTTCCGTCCATTTTCTTTGTCTTTGTCACTCTTCGTCTCATCCTTACAGCCAGGAAGATAACACGTCAGTGCTA